TGCTACTGACAGTTAAACAGGGAAACAATCACAACCATTACAGGTTGTTTAGTTTGATGTAATGTTTCAGTTAGGGATGTTTTAACAAGTTCTTGGTATCAGACCATGAGTATCATAGTTTTCATGAATCATTCATGACCCAGAATATGTTAGAGGATTAAATTTAACCAGCTGCAGCCTCAAGATGTATACACCCACTTACCTTCATGCATGAATTGCTGCAGTTGGCTATAATCTCTCATAATAATAAACATAAATATTGTTAAGGTGTGTGCTGGATATCACTAATTAAAGAACTTCCATTCAAATCAACTGTGCATGTATTTCTTCAGTACTGTTGTTTGTTTTGTCCCATGTAGTGTATAGAAAGAAAAAATTACTTACCTCCAATTTTTTAAGTGGATGATGTGGTGGATTGGGCCAATGAAAGGGTCTGGTTTGATTGGGCTGATAGAAGGTTGAGGTTAGGTTGGGCCAGTGGAGAGTGGGGTTGGGGTTTAGGGTTAGGGTTGAGCTAGTGGAGGAGCAAAGCTGGGTTGGGATGATTGAGGAGTGGGGTTAGGTTGGGCAAATGGCAGGGTGGGGTTAGGTTGGGCTAGTGGAGGATTGGGGTTAGGATGGGCCAGTAGAATGGTGGGGTTAGGTTGGGCTAGTGGAGGGTTGGACTTAGTTTGGGCTGGTGGAAGAGTGGGGTTAAATTGGGCAAGTGGAGGAGCAGGGTTCATTAGGGCTAGTGGAGGACTGGGGTTAAGTTGGGCGAGTGGAATGGCAGGGTTACGTTGGGTTAATGGAGGAGTGTGGTTAGTTTGGGCAAGTGGAATGGGGGAATTAGGTTGGGTTAGTGGAGGAGTGGGGTTAGTTTGGGCTAGTGGAGGAATAAGATTAGGTTGGGTTGATGAAGGGATTGGAGTTGACTATGGATGTCGAGATATTTGAGGCTGAAATCAAGAATGAGATTCTCATCACAAGGGGTCAATTACATATTGCTACTAGGGGATATTTTTCTTAATATAATTGTGAATTTCTGTCTGATAGCCTTCAATGTGGTTGTTGATTGCTTCAATAGTTTACATAAATAGAAACATGTTTCCTTTGAAAGTTTTAATTTTTTTGATGGTGAAAGAGTTAAGAACAGTGCACAAATGCAACTTGCTAAAAATTTATAGCAGCAAGAAAACATCTGCACTGGTTTGCCTTGGGGCTTTTGTCTATTGGTAACCAGTAAAGTATTTTGAGATTTGGGATATAAAGTGTAGATGGGCTTCAAACTCCCCAATTGGCCAACTCTGAGGACATATGTTAACAGTAAGGAACTATTACATGTGATGAAAAAAAAAATTTTGGAAATGGGGGAGAGACAACTTCCATGGCGTGAAGTGGAGGACACGAGACCAAAAAGTTTCAGTGGAATGAAGAGGGCTGAGAAAGAAAGACATTATGATAATCATTTTATGTAATGAAAAGCTAAGTCACTAACCTGGATTTGTAAGCCACAGGAAAATGTTCTTTTTCCTTGATCCTCCAAATAATTCCATCAGCTTTACACCATCTCGGTGGGCAGTTGCAACCTTTGACATGGCATGCCCTCAAAAGTATGATGCAAATAACTCTAACCTAGTGTGAGGAAATATTAGGGATTGGTATCACCATATCATAATAATTCATTATATTGTAATTTTCAATATTTGTCCCTCACTTTACTTGAAATTTTCCTAAACATTGCACTTGCAGAAATTACACATAGGTAGCATTTGCCCGAGAAAGGTAAAGACATTAGAACATACTGTCATCATAGGGGCCAATATTCTTTAGCCCTTTGACTCCTAGATCTAAATCTGTAATTCTCCTTACGGTCAATCATACAATTCTCGTAATATTAGTTCAGAGAACTAAGTATTGGATCAACTACCGGCCGATAAACCGCGGGTAATCTATAAATTTTTCCACAAACTGTTGTTGGTGCGGGTTATAGGAAGGTGCGGGTAATATAATAATTTTTAAAGCTTCCAGTGTAGTTAAAAACGATAAACAGGAAAAAAAGAACAGGTGATAAGATACACTACAGACACTCTTCAAAAAGCCTGTGCAATAACTCATTTATTTTGCGCAGATTGCTCATTATAATAAGAGACTTTATCGCTCTCGATGAAAGCCGATGCAAATCGAAAACATGTAAAACTCGATAACATAGCTTTTATCTTGTTCGTTCTCTTACTTTCTTACCTTGTCAGTTTCACAGCTTGTTTCTTTGTTTATTTCAAATAAACAATTCTCACTTACACGGAAAGTGAACTTGAAAATAAAAGAATTCAACTACTGTGAAAAGACTGGCTTCAGGGCAAATCACACGGAAAATGATGCCCACATGTTCATAATTAATTAGCGCGAATATTCGACATATCAGAGAAATTTTCTTAGCTAGCACTACCTTGAGGTAAAGAGTATTTTCCCGTTTCAAGCGATTTCTCCGACTCAGTAAATCGCGTGATGTCAATTTTTTTTAGAACAGATTTTTACAATTGGTATCATTCTCAATGAAACAGCGAAGACAAAAAGTGTGAAAATTTATTAACTGCACGCTAAAGGATGTCACGTCAACAAAAACAATGAAGGAACTTTGTGTGAGTCAACGATTTTCCTATTTTTGGGTGCGGGTTATCTGCCAGTGCGGGTAATCTGTTGAAATTTTTTCTCTTTATTCATATCTCTTGTCTGGTTGATATTGTATTGATATTGTAAGGAGAAATTGTCTTGATCACTCATAGGAGTTTAAGGGTAAAAGACCAGTGTGAAATGTACATTTTATCTGAGAGGGTAACAAATATGTGGATAATTTTGTTTTTTCCTCATGGAAAAAGTTTGGTTTTCACTCTTCCAAACTCTTCATCAAAGGTTATGATAACAATATTAAAAAGCAATTTAAGAATGACTGGTTATTTCCATTGATTATGCAATCATTGAAATGGCTGAGTAAGCGCGTTTTCTAGCAGAGTACATCCGGCGTTCTAAGGTATCAGAAAAGGAAAATTAGCGCATTAGCGAAAATAGCAAACAAACTATTCGAGCTATCCCTTTAAAGGTCTACATTTTCGCGGAGTCTAATAAGGACTGATGTGGGTTATTCAATTTACTTTTAAAATTTTGATCGTTGAGCAGAAAAGGAGCTTTCCTTTTTAAACGCCTGGACGGTTGACAAGATTAGTTTCTGAGATGTTCCTTTTTCATTGGGAACGTGGTCTTCGCATATTGAACTCAAAAAGGGTTTCTGCCATTTGTGCGTTAACGCTCCGCTTTTGAGCAAAGTGTTAAGGAACCTTTTCTTTTTGGACATTATCTCCAAATTTCGCGAAAAGACCGAAAGTCAGCCAAGACTGAAATCTTTAACGTTTAAAACGCAAGCCAAAAAGTGATTATGCGAGAAAAAGCGACTTGACGTATCATCAATCCCGCAAGTGCCTTCTACTCTCAAATTGTTTCCTGCTTTGTGTCTACCGAAGTAAATGACGCACCAAAATATAACTTTCAGTGGTTAACGGATTTTTAGTTTTGTTTTATTTTGTTTTTTTCTCATAACTAAACATGAAATTTGCGAGAGATTGAAAACAAAGAGATTTCCTTCCGTGATACCTTATCAGATTTATAAAGTAGGTCAAAATGACGTTTTGGGACTAAATGTGATGTGGGTTTACCACCGCGTCGATTGCTAAAGCGTACAAGGCACCCGCTGGGCTGGGTGGTGGACGGCATTCCTTCGACGTTTTCGCATCGGAACTTTCAGACGAAATGGTAAAGTATTCTCCAGAGTTAAAAAGTATTTGCCGGGCTCGCAGCGTTGAATGTCTAGTATAGGTGTAAGTGTAGTTTTAACTTCCCGCCCTATGTTGCTCTCTGGTTTTTGCGCCAGCGACGCGAACAATGTCCAGTCTAAGGTCAATTGAACCGTAGAACTAGAAGTGTCATTAGCAATTAGATGGCAAGGTAGAGTCCAATTCCACTTGAACAATTTAAATCAACTTAATCCAATTTTTTGTCGTATGGAAAATGTTAGACAATTATCAGTAAGCATCATCAACTCAATAGAAACTTCATATAGCGACTTAGTTTGAAGTAGCTTACACCTTAAAGCGAAATGATTCAGAAGAAGCGAGTGACAAGAGAAACAAGACTCACCCACTGACGTCTTCTCCTTTTGTAAAGGTAATGTCCATCACCCGCCTGGCGTTTATAGGCCGACTCATTTCTGCGTTACCAGGAACAGCCGCCCTCTTCCTTTCCAATAACACCGCGGTCCCCTGAAAAGCACATTTGCTGTAGCTCATAATGTAACTTTATAGTGTGTAAAGTCTGCAGCTGCACGCGCTTACTGAATCGTTGAAAGAACCCCACCGAACATGAAAACTGAAGCCCTCTATTGTTCGGTTGATCAATAACTAACTAGGTAACTATTCATCAACAATTTTCTCGCCTTTACATGTACATAAATCAACAACGAAACTGCGAAATAAATCAAATCTTGGCGCAGCGGATTTCAATCATGGAAAGGGCGGAAAGAAGACAACCCTAAAACAAAAACACTCGCTTAAATCACCCAGCGTAAATCTGTCACTAATATGTAAGTTGAGACGACGCGCGATCTCATCAAAATTGGACAATTCAAAATAATTGATAACATACAGATATAATATAGACTGACCAATCCGTAGTTTTAAAGTCCATTTTGGTCAATGTAAAAAAGAAAGAACACATTTAAGCGTCCTAGCAGTCGTTAATTCTTGATCCCAAACGATCGCACTTCGCGCACGAAAACAAACTCCACCACATCCTCCCAGTGAACGCTAGCTACGCCACTGGGTTAAGGAGTGTCACAACAACAATTCCAGAGGCGTGAAAGGGCGTCAATACGCATTAATGGGAAATATGTCTTACCAACCCAGACCAAAGCTGGGGCGGTTTGTCTAAGTAGTAGTGTTTTATCAGAATTCTTTCAACAAGAATATAACATGTCTTTACGTCAGTATACGGCCTTAGAGCAAGGTCCTGTAACGAATGTAATCCACTGGCTACAGAACAGGAATCTTCCCGCCAATCCACTTCGCTGCGCACAGTGTAATGACGCAATGGAAGTAAAAGAAAGAAACGATGGCCACGTGGACGGTTTTCACCGGTGAGCCAACAAAACTTCACTTAAAATACACTATTTAGAACAGAACGGATTGAAGAAGTAACTTTATTAGCAGAAGCAACATCGGAATAGGCGGTCGTTTCGGGGTAAAATTAAAAATATTGCGGCACCAATGACCAAACACCTCGAAACAAGTAAAAATTCGCGGATTCAGTGATATATGTTTACGCTTACTGGTGGTGACTTTCTTATCGTGCGCGTGGAAGAGTGTTTCAATTTTTCATTTGCAGTCTCCTCTTCTAGAGACTGCACATTTTTTCCACTGATCTAGTTATTGAGTTTATAGCACGCAGGGTTGAAATAAATTTACTGGCATTTTCACACAAAGAAAGCCACGGGGGGGAATGAAAGGTCACGCTCTCACAATTAGCTAGAAAGAACCAACTCATTTTTCGTTCCTCGGGTTTGCTAAACTTTTCCAGAGCGGACGTTCTCCTTTTTCCGTTTTTCGTTCAGGAACGTGGCGCACAAAAGAGAAGGAACAATTTTTTTTATCCAAAAGCTAATAGGTCCTCCTGGTAAGTAAAGCTCATTTCAAACAAACTGTGCCTCCCCTGATGAATACCGTTCAAGCAGTAAACTCGCATTCCTAAAAGAACGTTTCCTTCTTTCTGTCTTTCTTTCTTTGCAAAAACTATTTCCAAATGTTTTTTTCGGTCAAGTCAAAGTTGGAGCAAATAATTAAATCACGGTTTAATAGTTCAATTCTGATGTGGTTGAATAAAACTATGGCTCTAGATTCCTCTAGCCGAAATCAATGGAACAAAACATGTTCATAATTCCCTCGCAAAGTGTCTTCATGATTTTTCTTTTTTCTTTTTTTGGATAGGTGCAAAATTGTTTGAGACCATCTCACTACAAAGAAAAGATACCTTCTGACAAAATGAACTAAAAAATAAAGTTATTACATGTGCTAATTGGATTGATAAACAAGGGCAAAATCCAAAATGGACTGAAAAGCTACGAATTGATTGGTCGTGCTTTTTTTTTTATTACGCCTGTAAGTGGCGTGCAAGTTATTCGGATTATAAGAACCATTTAAAACTTTTCAAAGTTGTAAGAAACTCTTTCTTTTCTACATCGCACAGGCGCTGCAGTGGATGCAGAAAGAAAAGAAGTCTGCGGTCCAACAGCTTCTTCGAGGTGTTCCCAAGAGTGCCTTTTGGTAAATTACTACTCACAATCTACTTTTTTTTCCGCCGAGGACTCTCGGTGACAAATTTCAAGGCACCTGAGCTTAAATCCGAACTTAGCGCCGGAGCAGGATTTTGAGGCGGTTACAGGATGCCTGCTTTAGAGATCTCCTGAATAAGGCCAATCACGCCCTCTGGAGGACCCGGAACTGTGTGACGATTTGATTGTATTCGAACTCGATTACAAGGTTTGTGACTCGAGTTCGAGTCACTTATATCGAGCTCGGTTGCCCAGGAAACAAATCCTTGTTCCGTAATTTCAAAAGCCAAATGAAACAAGCGAAGATGGATAACCAAGCAACACGAAATTCGGCCTTTAAGAACTGTCCTTCCCAGAAAGACGTAATTGGCTATTAAGAGCAGCCTTCAAATACCATCTGTGTAGAAGGTGCGCTTCGATGCTCGAAAGAGTAAAATAATCAGTCCAGCACATTGAAAGGATCGTTAATTGTATGGAAGATCATCTCAATGCCGTCAAAGACAGCTAAATAAAATGAATTAAATTTAGATGTTTACGAAAACATGGCCCTCTAAATTTTACATGCTTTTTTTTTGTCCACTGAATTTCTCAAATTTCAGTTATTCAGAATTGACTTCATTTTTTATTGTATTTGTGATATAAATATACCCGCAATTTTATATAAATCAATATCTAACTCTTCGCGAGAAGACCTTAACTTCTCAGCCACTATGATTCAATCACAAAAATTTATGGTCATGAAAGTTCTTTATATATTAGGTACAAGAGTTTCCATCTAACGAGAAAAACTGTAATGTTTCGCATAAAACGCTCCTTTAAGAGCCAAAAAATGTAAATCAGAGGCGGATTAGGGGTTCCAAACCCTCTCCATGTGTTTTCATTAGACCTGTGCTTTTTTTCAAACGTCTGTCTCACGCACTTATTCATGCAACGACATGATCGCATGTTTATACTCAGTATGAAATATTTATGATTTGGTCTTGAAAAAATTCTCAGCTTATTTAGGCTAAAGCGTAAAAGAGTTGGTGCTTTGTACATCAAAATTTCCAAGATCCACTCTTGTTGTTGCAATATGACGACAACAATTTGATAACATACGATTACTATTGCTTTTATATTTTTTTTTCGCTAGTTTAGGTTTAATGATTTTTTTAATATTATTTTACAGTTCTTTTTCTGGGTAATGTAAATTTTTGAAGTCTATCTTTACCTTATTACTTTACTTCCCACTTTGAAGCGCATTTCATTAAAATTTCCTGTTCTTGTCTCAGAGGTTGACATGACCAATTTTGGTTTAGGGTTAACACTAAACTCCAACCCTTTGCAATTGTATTATAAAGTAAAGGTCAAGAAAATGTTAACTGTCATTTTATATCAGCTTTTAATTTTCGTAGGCATTATGAGAATTCTAAGCCTTAAAGTAAACACTCCGGTAAGCCCACCACGGAAGAAGGGAAGGGGGATGGTGGAGGGCCTTGAAGAGTGAGGTGGCATTTTAAGAACTCACAAAGCACTACAACGCGAGGTATTCTTTTCTGATGAATTCTTATCCAGTCTCAATGCACACGGTAGGGTATGTTGTTCTTTAATTGTAAACCCACGAATTTTAAAGCAGATAAATGTATTGCCATCGAACGAAACTTTATCATAGGACCCACACAGTTTCCAATGCACTTTTGTTGAATAACACTATTACCAAGCTGTGCGTACGGCCCCGTGAGATACGGAATGGATGAAAAAGGACATGCATTGTTAATGAATGGGTTAAGATTCGAATTGAACGGCAAAACATTTTGCTTCAGGAAACGAGATTATATGGGATGAGCAGGGAGTTTGGCTCACGAGACAAGAGTGCAAATGGGGGTATTACAAGGGAGCAAGCTTTAGAAGCGCTTACGATACTTTAAATCACTGGAGTGCTCAAAAGGAGGCTCTCTGTGGTCGAGACCACCAAACCCTTTTAAAACAAACAGCAAATAATCACCGAAAAATATAGAGCAACGAGTGTACAGCAATCAACAAATGTCTTGAATCTTTAATAGGGAACAAACTTACGAAAACAGATAATAAAAGAAAAAAGCTTAAAAGTAAATGGACAGTCTCCAATAAAGTAAAATGATTCAATTAGCCAGATTTTTCTAGAAAAAACCAGTAGCAGATAATTGACTAATTTTTTTGATACAAATTTATACTTTCTGTTATCTCTTTTTTTTGTTGTTGATCAAGATTTTTTTCCCAATTTCAAATCAGCAGATAAATCATTTTCCAACTAAAAAAATTCACAGACGCATTTTTTCGATACTTGATTGAAAGTGGAAACCAATACGCTGCAGAGTCCACTGAACTTTTAATTAATCTTGAAATCACTTCGGTCTATTATAATTTTAACAAAGAAATCAACAGACAATCAACTAATTCTTCAAATGACCAAATCAAAACCTCCACATCAATCGACTTATATTTCTTGTCAAAGTGAATTAGCAAGTTTTGAAATGACATCACCACAGTAATTCTAAATTGAGCAGCCTGAACCTGATTCAGAACACTCTCTGCGTTCTGTTAATAACTTTTTAGTCGAGGTTATCGTTAGCTGAGCTGTCAAATCAAGTCAAAAAGGATTAAAATGTTCCAAGCTCTGGGATCGAACAAATACCCGATTTTCTTTTACATTATTTCCTGCAAACTCAAAACAACCTTAACTCCTACACTATTCCTTACTATACGATATAATACGTAGATGCAATAGTATCACTTGTTTCGCCATTCAAAGTCTTGTAATAGATCACCGTCGTTGTTGCTTTAAGACCGTGCAATTTACTTCCTAAGAGGAGAATGGTTAGGCGAGCAAGGACTATTGATCAAGCCCCTAGAGGTCAAAGGGAACGCTCCCTTAACGCGCCGTATGGTGGATTCTTTTCCCATCTGTAGCTCAGCTCGTTGTATTTATAAACTTTCCATCAAGCACTCCAACGCTGTTCTATTTATATCCCAGTATTACAAATTAAGCCATGAATCACTGGCGACCCAGTGATAGTCTTGTTTCTTTCCAAAGGTCAGGTGGTGTCTCGGGAAAACTAGATCTTGTGAGAAAAAAATACCTGGAAAACAAAGTTGCATTTCATTTTAATATTCTGCATTAAAAATAATAAATTCAATGATCATACTATTAAGTTACATGTATTCATTAATTTATTTATGAATCAATATATTGACGTATTTATTTATCTTCTTATTTATTCATCATTTCTTTATTTCCTTAAAAATTCAATTAAGAAAAAATCACTGTTATCATTGATTGAGTTATATTTTTATTTCTTTATTTCATCTTTTATTGATCAATTATCTTTGTTTATTTTTAAGTTATTAGGTATATTTTTATTAAGGTTTAGTTTAAACTGAAGACAAGACTGGACTGAACTACATTTAAATTGGACTTAAATGTGGGCTTTTCCGAATGGCACTTCACTCGACTGGACGGAACTGCAACACACTAGGTTGTTCCTAACTTGACTGAGTAGGACTGCATTGCGCTAGACTCGTCAGCATTTGGTTGTTCTGGACTAGACGGGACGGGTCTGGGCTGAGCCGAGCTGAGCTGTTACGGATTGCACTGCTCTGCTCTGTACTTGACTGGACTAGAATCGACTGTAGTTGACTTATAATGGACCTGGGCCATGCCGAATTGAAATGCATTTAACTAGAAGGGACTGAATTGAATTGGACGGGGCTGAACAGAATTGGACGGGAGTGGACGACATCGGACTGGACACCATTGAATGGACTGGACCGGTTTAAAGTGGACTGGACTGCAAAGGACTGGACTGGACTACACGTCAGTGGACTGTACTGGACTTGACTGGACAGCACTGCACTTCACCAGACTGTCTTAGCCTGACTAC